ATCTCACAGATTTTATCGTTTTATTTATCTGATGTTATAAGACACATGTTTATACTGTAATGTAAATGTTGAAAAAACGAAGATGCCGGGGAAATGGCTATGGAAGGAAGAAAGAGGAAACACTTTTTAAACAAGTGGCACTGCTACAGCTTGTGGTAGCAAGTTCCAGGAGATAATTGCAGGTTGTGTAAAAAAGATTTCCATTTTGGTTCTTGTTTGTCCTGTGTATACTTTTACCCTCTTTCATTGGGCGGCCAAGTTCTTAAATTGTACGGTAGAAGAATCCAATCTCAATCCCTCCCTCCTTCCTTCTTTATTTCATGTCATATGAATTTTAATTTTAAACTGTAATGATCTTTCATAGAAGTATGACAACCCAAACAATGCAGATGGAAAACCCAAACAATTCAGATTGAAAACCCAAACAATTCAGATTGAAAGCCCAAACAATTCAGATGCATCATTTGCCTCAGGCAAATATGTAGCAGCTTTCCTCAACTTGGTGTCTTCCAGATGTGTTTGAATCTCAACTCCCATACCTATTGCAGCAGGTAATAGGGCCAAGCACATCTGGAGGATGCTGGGAAAGTGGGGAGGGGAGGCAGAATTATTTAGAGATAGAAGTAGTCCTCAGCTTACGATTGTTCATAGTTAACAACAGTTCAAAGTTATGATGGCCTCGGAAAAAGTGAATTATGATCTGTACTTGCACTTATGACCGTCACATTCGCCTTGGCAGCCGGCTTGCATTTACATCTGGCTGCAATGTCTTGCGATCACATGATCATGCTTTGTGACTTTTTTGCTGACTTCCAGCAAAATCTGCCCATTTGGGAAGCTGAATTTGTTAACAACCGCACGATTCACTTAACATATGATTCACTTACTGACAATGGTAATTAGCTTAATGACTGCCATAAAAATTGTCATAAAATCGAGTCCAACCTTATTTAGAACCACAACTTTCAATGAAAATTCTAGTAGTACTTGTGGTTGTAAGTTTGAAGATTAACTCTACATTTTGTGGCTTGTTATGGATCTGGATTAGAATGGGAGAAAGGAAGTGAGAGCTGTATGGAAAAAACATATTTTCCCCCTCAAAATATTAACCTGTTATCTTCCTGTTTTCGTGGGAGGTGGGGATCTTGAACTTTTCTAAGCTTAAGCCTGTGAATTTGTTGGATAGGATGATGTCTGTATATATATAAAACTTGCTGCATATAGAAAACTTCTTCATTGAGTCCTTCCAAAAATGCTAGCTTTCCACTGATAAAGTATGTTTTTAAAGTAATACAGGTACTCACAGCAGTTCATTTAGTGACAACAGCACTGAAAAAAGTGGCTTACGACTGTTTTTCACATTTACGACCTTTGCAACATCCCCATGGTCAGGGGTAGGCAACCTTGGCTCTTTTATGACTCGTGGACCTCAACTCCCAGAATTCCTGAGCCAGCTAAGCTGGCTCAGGAATTCTGGGAGTTGAAGTCCACGAGTCATAAAAGAGCCAAGGTTGCCTACCCCTGACCATGGTCATGTGATTGAAATTCAGACCTTGGTAACTGACTCATATTTCTGAGGATTGCAGCATCCCGGGGATCATGTAATCACCTTTTGTGAACTTCTGAGAAGCAAAGTCAATGGGGAAGCCAGATTCACTTAACAACTGTGTTACTAATTTAACAACTCCAGTGATTCACTTAACAACTGTAGCAGGAATGGTCGTAAAATGGGGCAAAATTCACTTAATAATATCTTGCTTAACAACAGGAATTTTAGGTTCAATTGTAGTTGTAATTGTAATATATACAGTTGCACCTGCATATATCATTTGCATACGCACACCTGCATTCTGAAGTAGTATTGCACTTGGTTTGTGCTACTTTTTATTTCTGTCTTAAAATATAGTATAATTGCTTAATCCGTATCCCAATTTCCTCTGTTTTTCATTGCATCATATGTGCTGCTATTTCACTCTTTAATTTGGAAGGATGATCCTTCCCTCCCTCCCTCCAGTGCCTTTGTGGTAAACTTCTGGGAGTTGACAACCTCTGCCTCTCAATCCTGAAGCACATTCATTTTAGCAAAAGGTTGTTGTTGTTTTTAAAAAAATTGTATGTAATTTGTTTCCTTCTGCACTCCATCTCCCTTTCCTTAGGAATTCAAAAGAGACACCAATAGTTTGGTTTAAAAGTTATATTAGCCTTCCCAGTTAACATGACTAAAGTTTATGGCTGAGAATCATGGGAACAGCAGATTAATCAAGCATCCGAAAGAACCTTCAATTTGGGAAGCTTGGACTATATAGTTTGAGAATTTTCTGCTGTGAAAGATTTCGTCCTTGCACCATGGATGTTTTTATGACATCCCTTTATAATGATTAATTTTGAATGTTTCTTTCGTGGTATAAAAAACCTGAAGTAATTCCATCCACGAGGAGGCGTGTCCAACCTTGGCAACTTTATGATTGGCTAGGAATTCTGGGAGTTGAAGTCCACAAGTCTTAAAGTTGTTATGGTTGGACACCTCTGTCCTAGAGAATTTAGAGACTAGCAGTTGTTTACAGATTAGGACATCCTGAGGTGGGCAGGGAAACTGAGGAAGGGATAAATGAGGAAATATTATTTCTCTTGCCCTCAGTAAAGGTAAAATATCAGGTGAGACTACCCTCATTATTGACGTCTTTCTGGAACTCCCTTAAAACTTGGATATGTCAATAGGCCTGGGAGGGTTCTCATGGAAATGGGGTGTCAGAACTGCCACTTCACACCTGTCTTATTCTTCCCCATGAACTATGGGGTGGAGGGATGCTGAATGGGAGGGGGTAGGAGGGTTCTATTATTCACTGTGCCAGCCAGAGACACAAATTCAAAGACAACCACCGGCAAAGGAATGTGGCTGCATACCAAGGATGGCCATTCCAACAACATCCAGTTTAAACATGATTGGACAATCGAGGGCTAACGGGAGGGAGGATCTTGAGAAGGGGGAACTATGCTTGGGAATTTGGCTTGCAAAAACTTAGATCTGGCTTTGCTCTACTGCGTATCACTTGACCTTTAGTAAACTATACCTTTCTCAACAAATGGAGTCAAGGACCGTTCTTGCTTAAAGCTCAAGTTGAGGCAGGACTGACATGGGGATTTAATGAGGTGGCTACATTGATTGTGATAATATCTAATGCTCTCCCTAGCCCTTTGGATTTTTTTTAATGGTAATAATATTAATATGTTAATTGTAGAATGCTTTTCTAATTACTATTTTTATCATTTTATTATACACTGCCCAGAGTCATGTATTGTTAGGTGGATGGCATATAAATACAACAAATACATGAAAAATACGGTTTGCTAGATTTGAAGAAAATCCACCCTCTTGTTGACAAGATGCAATTCTCCTGCTGTTAAAACAATCAGTCTTAATTGAGGGTTCTAACCAGTGGCAGAACCGGTAGCTAATTTTTTGTTGCCCAGGCCCAGATTGGACTTCCGGAAGCGGCATCCACATAGAGAATCGGTTGTTCACATATTTGAATCCCACCACTGGATCTAACTAATTAATCAACTAATCAGGAGAAGCTAAACAAGTACTTACTTTAAAGAACAACAGATTGTCCAGTTAATTCAGTGTCCTGTTTTACTTGAACTAATGATTTTCTGCCAATTGTAGCAATCTCTAGAACTGATGGGATGTGACTGTTCCTTAGAAATTCCTTCCTGTTTATTTGAGAGCTGGCAGTATAATACCTGGAGCCTCCAGAGTACCTGCCACACTTTATCGATTTATTTAGGAGGTTTTTATTCTACCTTTATCATTTTACAAGTAACTCAAGGCGGCAAACATACCTAATACTCCTTCCTCCTATTTTCTCCACAACAACAACCTGTAATAGAGAGAGGTCTGAGAGAGAGGGGCTGCCCCAGAATCACCCAGCCGGTTTTTCATGCCTAAGGCAGGTCTAGAATTCACCATCACCTGGTCTCTAGGGCAGCACCTTCACCACTACACCAAACTGGTACATACCGGTACTTTAATAATGTTTGCGGAATTTTAAAATAAAATAAATGAATTTTAAAACTCTTGATATCTTACGAGATTTCAGTATTATCGCACAAAATAGTGAGTTTTCAGGTGAGAGTGTTGAGATTTGTGAGGGTGGTGATGTTATCCATTCAGTTGTGTCCAACTCTTGGCAGTTCTGTGGGCCAGGTCTCTCCATATCTTCCAATCTTGCACTGCTTCTTTGAGTTTTTCTGTTCTCTGGCTGGTGTCATCTTTGATGGTGTCCACCCACCGTGTTCTTTGGAGGCCTGGTTTCCTTTTACCGCTAACTCTTCCAAACATAGTCGCTTTCTCCAGTGAATTCCTCCACATGACATGGCCACCGTAAGTGAGATGTAGTTTTGTGATTTTGCTGAGATTTCAGGGATGAGATCATCCAAATTCTACAAAATTCTGCAATCTTATATATTTTTTTTTTCTTAAGAAAAAATTCCCACCCATTTCCTGAAACAGTTTCTAATCTGGATGCTTATTTACCCTGCCCCTCCTTTTGCTTTTCTTTAAAAGGGGTGGGGGGGTGGGGCGGATTGCCACATGCAATAACCTGACCACCTTTTCTTCCTCTCCACTTTCCCCAGCTTGGAAAAGAAGAGTCACCCTGGAAAGTTCGCTTCTGCGCCATGTTGTCTTCACCAAGGAGCATCCGACGGGAGGTGCTGCTGATTGGAGTCCACGCGGACCAGGCCAGAGGACAGCCGTTCCACTAGCCCAGCACATGTGGGTGGAGACGTCTCCCCTCACACCCTCCCCTCCTACATCTCCGGCATCCGCAATGGTTTATTAACCAAGAAGAGCCCTGCTTTTTTAATTCCTCCTTCGTCTTTTCTCCCCTTCCCCTCCCCTTCCCCCGACCCCCTCCCAGCCACTCCTCAAGTTTTGGCCGTGTTGGGATTTGTATGGCAGCGGTGTAACCGTGGAGAGGCCAGGGTATCACAAACTTATGGATTTTGATAAGAGAGGAGGGAAAGGGGAAAACGAGGAGAGTAGAAGAATGTCTAAAACGGGTGGAAGCCGGAGCACTCACGGGAGCCGAACAGCAGGGACCAACTCCGGAGTCTTAATGGTGGGGCCGAATTTTCGTGTTGGGAAGAAGATCGGATGCGGCAACTTTGGGGAACTTCGGCTAGGTAAGTCTTCATATATATATATATATATATTCCCTGGTTGGTTTGCTTTAACTCAGCTTTTTTTCATACTTGACAACTTTTAAGAAGCATGAACCCCAACTCTCAGAATTCCCTAACGCAGTGGTTCTCAACCTTTTTAATGCCGCGACCCCAACCGGTCGTAAGTCGAGGACTAAACCGGTCATAAGTCAAAGACTAAACTGGTCGTAAGTCGAGGACTTTCCCTGCCTGGGAGCGCTGCGCATGCGTGGTTCCGCCCCCTGCGCCGGCCGAGGCGTAGCTGGCAAGCGGCAGAGACGGAGCAGGCCGACCACCAGCTGGCCCAGCCCAAGGGAGGTAAGGCACCTGCCGGAAAAGGGGGAAAAAATGGTGGACAAAAAAAATGGCGGACAGCCTTGCTTGGCGACCCCCGTGAAATGGTCGATCGACCCCAAATGAGGTCCCGACCCACAGGTTGAGAACCATTGCCCTAACGACACATCTTAAAGTTGTCAAGTTTGAAAAATACCACTTTAATTCAAACCCAAATATTACATACAATCTTTGCTTCTTGAAAAATGTCTGTCAGAAATAAGATGCTGTCTTCCAGAGCAAAATAATTCTCTCCGTACATGTCCTTTTTGATAGCTTTGTAAAGCGCTTTGCCCCAAATACAAGTAAATGGCATCTAGTTCTCGAGTTATAGTGGTTATCGGGACTGTAGCTTCTGTTGCTAAATGATGTGGTTGTAAAATGCAATGTGGCATGGCTGCTTTGCTTAGCAATGGCAATCCTGGAAGTCATCATGGCTGTCATTAACCAAATCACACCTGTCTTAGGCAAGGACTCATCCCGATCCAAGCCATTCCTAAGCTTTGGTCAGATAAGGCAGGGCAGGGGATTGGATTAGAATAGCAATAGCACTTAGACTTATATACTGCCTTATAGTGCTTTACAGCCTTCTTTAGATCAGGGCTTTTCAACCTTTTCACCCATTGTACCACTTTTAGGATATGGCAATATCAGAGTACCACCAGTCGCCTAGCAAAGTGTCAAAAACTTGATGACCAAAAAAAGGAAAAAAGTGATAAAAGTACAGGTAGTCCTCGACTTACAACAGTTCGCTTAGTGACTGTTCGAAGTTACAATGGCACTGAAAAAAGTGCCCCCCCCAAGCCACAGCCGAGCAAGACACCTGCCTGCCCACCTGGTGGCGCTCTTCCTCCTGTCCGAGGTTTTCATTGTTGTGAGCATTTCTGTTGGGGATTGGCAGCAGGGGTGGGGTGAGGGGGTGTTTGGTTTTTATCCCCCCCCCCGCTCTGCGGGGTGGTTGCAGCAGGTTTTGGTCACTTCACATGACCCTGGGACACTGTGACCGTCATAAATATGAATCAGTTGCCAAGCATCTGAATGTAAATCACAAGACCCTGGAGATGCTACAACATTCCAGCTGATCGGCACTTCTTCTGGGCTCAGGAGAAGCGCCAGGATCAGTACCGAGCTCCAGCTGGAGCCTGGCACTGATCCTGGCGCTTCCGCTGAGCCCTGACAGCCCTGCAGCTCCAGCTATCTCTCGCTCAGGCTTGTGCGGTGCTGCCACCGGTTCAGCTCATTCCCCTCCCCCACTACCACTTTTCTAGGATGTTCGCGTACCACCTGCCAGGTGCCAATGTACCACTGGTGGTACCCGTACCACTGGTTGAAAAGCCCTGTCTTAGAAGACCTCTGAGATCCCTTCAACTCTGTGATTCCATCTTCTGCCTCCTTTTTGGTTCTTCCCACCCACCTTTTTGGACGCCTTGCACGCTGTCTTCTTTGCCAGCTCTTTGCTCCACTCAGCATGCTGGACCTGTCACACCCCAAATGACCATCACCATCTTCTTCCTTCCTCTCACTGCTGACAAGGCTGGCCTGGCCTGGCCTAGCCTAGCCTGGCAGTTTGCGAGGTAGATGCTGGCTGCACCAGGTCTTTCCAAAGCCACGCGTGGCCTCGTTCAAATCATGTATGGCTTTCTCGTGAGGCTTTGGAAGGCTTCAAAGCTTTGTGAGAAAGCCAGACATGTTTGCACCCTGTTCATACAATGCAAAACCACAAACCATACGTTTTGCAAACCACACGTACAGTAATGTGTGTATTACTATTAGAATTTCTGGTCATTTGTAACTTGCACATTAGAATTCCTGGAACGCAGTAGATAATTGACTCTATTCTCCAAGCCACTTGCTGTTTTGTTTCCTCTGGATAGCAAACTTTGATTTTTTTTTCAGATACAGAGATGGAAAATCCAATTATTAACTGTTAAATTCACAACTTAAAAAAGGAATCCCATTTTGCAAGATGATGGTAAAGAGTGTGTGCTTGAGAAGGTGAAGATTTCTGCCTTAAAACCCCACACCAGAGGATGCGTGCAAATAGCACTTAGTCAAATCGTATGTTTTCATTAATCTGCAAGAGAACAGAAGCTGACACAAACCCTGCATGATACAAGGCTAAACATGACATATTTCCGCAAAATTGAATATATCTCTGTGCTGTTGTAAAGAGCTTCATAATGAAAATAATGAATAAACTAAGTGTAGAAGCTTGGACTGCACTTTGTAAAACGCTCTTTGGCAGAAATAACAACTTGCAAATGTTCCTATAGCCAATTAAAATTCTCTCTGTTCTTTTTGGAACCCCCCCCCCCCCTATTTAGAAATATTCTTAGATTTCTTTGCACATGCTGCATATTTGATTTATCCACACAGATTTTTAATCAGGTTCAGGTTTGGGGACAGTAGAGGCCATTCTAGAACCTTTGTTTTTCTTTCATATAAGCAGGGCTTTTTTTCTCATAGAATGCCCAGAACGGAGTTCCGGCACCTTTTTTGGATGGAACCTTGTAGGGTAGGCAAGGCGGGTTGTATGACGTGTGTGAGTTCTGGCACCTTTTTTTTTTTTTTAGAAAAAAAGCACTGCATATAAGTAAATGTTTCAAGATTGTTTTGGAGATAGATTTCAGATTATTGTCCTACTGAAATATCCAACTTTTTTCATCTTCTGTTTCTTCATTGACTTGAACACTAACTTCCAGGTTTTGTTGACATTTAGTAGAATCAATTGTCTCTTCCACCTGTACAGTAACTTCCGTGCCACTGGCATTAACACCGGTCCCAAAGTATAATAGATTCATCCCATATTTAATGATTGGCAAAGATGCCTAAAGCCTTTTTCTCTTGTGTGATTAGGGCCGAACAGTTTACATTTATTTTATCAGTTTCAAACAGCTTGTTCCAAAATATTTCAGTGTTATTAAACTTTTATTTCACATACTTTGGATTCTTGTGACTTCTTGTGTTGAGATTAGAGAAATTTCTCTTCTGGCAACTGTCCCATGCAGATCCCCGTTGTATAAGCTTTGTCCTGTGGATAGGATCTCCAATGTTAGCTAAAATTTTCAGGTCATTTCAGCAAATCTGGCTGGCATTTGATACCTCCAGCAGAGATATTTTTTGATCTTCCAGATCTTGCCTTTACTTCAACAGTTCCATGTAACTTCCTTTTTTAACACTGCAGTTAGTCCTCGATCTACGACCACAATTGAGCCCAAAATTTCTGCTGCTAAGCAAGACATTTGTTAAGTGAATTTTGCCCCGCTTTACGACCTTCCTTGCCACAGTTGTTAAGTGAATTACTGAAGTTGTTAAGTTAGTAGCATGGTGGTTAAGTGATTCTGGCTTCCCCACTGACTTTGCTTGTCAGAAGATTGCAAAAGGTAAATCACATGACCCCAGGACACTGCAACCATCATACATACGAATCAGTAGCCAAGCGTTCAAATTTTGATCCCGTGACCATGGGGATGCTGCAGTGTTCGTAAGTGTGAAAAAAGGTCATAAGTCACTATTTTCAGTGCTGTTGTATCTTTGAATGATCACTAAATGAACTGTTGTAAGTCGAGGACTACCTATATTTCTCACGGTTGAAGTTGCTATTTGGAAACAGCAGGTTTTTTAAATAGCATTCCTTTGTTTTGTGAGAATTAACAATTTCATTTTCAAATGCTTAGTTGCTTAGAGGAGCTCATACAGGTAGTCCCCGACTTACAACCACAACTGGGACAAAAATTTCTGTTGCTAAGCAAGGTGGTTCTTAAGTTAATTGTGCCCAATTTTATGACCTTTTTTGCCATTTGTTAAGTGCATCGTTGTAGTTGTTAAATGGATCGTGGTTGCTGAAAGAATCCAGCTTCTCCCATTGACTTTGCTTGTCAAAAGTCAACTGGGAAGGTCACAAATGGTGATCACTTGTATCTGGGATGCTGCAACCGTCATAAGTACCTGCCAGTTGCCAAGTGCTTGCATTTTGATCATGTGACCTTGGGAAGGCTTAAGCTGTCCTGAGATCTGGTTGTAAGTCATTGATTTCAATGCTGTTATAACTTCCAACGGGTGGCTAAAGAAATGGTTGTAAATGCTGAAAGTAGACTAAACAGCAAAACCAAAGGGAGAGATTAGAACGCTCTATTTTTGAGCCTAATGTCTCAATAATCTCTTTGCAGTTTATTAACAACTTTACTGTAAAAAAAGAAAAGAAATAGTAGTGAATTAACTGGAGTGCTTTCTAAACTTTGGCACCTGGTTATTCATAATTCTCTTAAGTTTGAATCTAAACAAATTTAAATTATTTTCAGGATGATGTTTAACTTGGTAACATATAGAGGTTGGATTAGCTTCTGCTTGCTTAGGAATTAATTGGAACATACATACTAATCAAGGTTGCGTAAATTTTGCGGGTAATTATATCTAGAGCAACTTCTATTCTACGTATTTGCATGGAAATTTATAAATTCGCCCATTTAACCAGTGAAACTCAGGGCGATTGTATAAATGTATGTAGAGATTCAGTCTCTTGGCTGATGAATCAACTTTTGGAAACAGGAAGTTTTGAAAATCACGGGCTGCTGTCCATAGTCCATAAATGGTCAGATGTTGTTTATGTATCCTGTTGACAGTGAACCTCCCAGCTCTGGGTAACCAGT